AATATTATGTCTGTTCCACGAGCTACTCGTAGTAAAACTGAAGTAAAACACAATTAAAGTACGAGTAAAGTCTGTGTAGCATTTTCAAATTTCGACAGGGATGTTACGCTCTCTCAGATGCTCTCATTTACTCGAAAATCTGCTGGTGGAACGCACTTATATATACACAGTATTATTGAAAGTTACTATGAGTTGTTCGTGGAACAGACCTATTGTAAGTTAAATTTAGATTTTATACTTATTATAATCATATATATATAGAAATAGTTATATGATATATGATGATATTGTTATATTATGCACATGTAAGTGTTGGAACACTTCTAACTCATCTTCGCAACTATCTCTTTAAACTATGTATAACAGTTTTGTTATGAAACCTTATAATTCTTTCTAAATGGACTGTGCCTTGCTTCTTCTGCAAAAAATATTGTAGATTCCTAAGAGATAATTGATGATTCAAGACAGCCTTCTAAAAAATTTGAATCTTGCCCAGCAGGGATTTGAGTTTTGTAAATATTATTGAAAATTGTGATTTAGTAAGGTCTCTCATATTCCCGAATGAGTCTAATCTGGTTATTACTCGAAGGTAGTTGAAATAAAAAATTATTTAAAACGACAACATTTGTGTGCGAATATTTCATATGCGAAAAGTCCACGGGTAAGGCTGGATTTTAATAAAGAATTTATATTTAATTTATATTGAAAAATATGCGTGTTTATAAACAACGTAAACTAATTCAAAAAATTGTTTTGTTTTGTTTTTTTTGCTTGTGGTCAAAAAACTGATAACAAACATATATTTTTTTATTAATTTAATTTATTTAATAAATTTATTTTCTAAAGGCGTCAAATTATTTCAAAACCGCATAAACGGAAACTAACGCACTAAATTACTGTAAACGAATATTTCGAACAAAATATCTGAGCTATATTATTTCAAAATCTTAAATCCAGTACAATTTAAGATTGTTTTTTTTTATACATTCAAGTCGTTTCAAGATTTAAGTAATAAAAGATTTTTATTTCATATTTAAATAATTAAACTGGCAAATAAAGTTGGGCATTAACACCTAACCAGCTCACTAACTTTAACCTTCAACTTATCTGTGTAGTTCGTTCATGAATTTTGCTGCTTTTATTTTTTAAATATATTTTAAAATTTTTATTATATATATTCTAATGCTTCATTTTCGAGTCCGTTAGTTCATAAGAAATCAGCTGAGAATTTGAACTGCCGAGCACAAAAAAAAAATTAATTTTAAAATGATTTGACTATTTAGCATACTAAGTAGCTTCCTGCATATCTATCTAATAAATTTCTGTGCTTTAATATTCGATATTTTTGTTTTTACATAGTCATGTTTTTTTTGTTTTTGTTTTTGAAGATATTTAAGTTTCATAAAGGTACGTTGATAGATACATTTTTCAACCTGTGATAATTACTCTCAAGTTTTTTCGAACTCGGTTTTCTTGTTTTACCAAGTTTTATTTTTTTCCATTTAATTATATTTTTTGTTAAATTCTTTTTTTTTTGTTGGTTTTGGTTAATAGAACTTCACTTCGCCAATAAGTCAGTCGACAGTGGGTTTTCTATATTTAGTGTTTTCAGTTGGTTTTGAGGAGTTGGTGCTGTGGTCAAATTGGTGTGTGCTTAAATTACCTAATATCTATAAAGATATACAATAAATATAATATCCAATAAATTATATATTTGTTTTAACATTTTACTTGCTAATGTTATGTGTTTTTAAAACTAATTGTTTCTGTTAAAAGTAATGTGCAAATTACAGTAATAAAATAATTTATGTCATCGGATCGAAAAGTAACAAGTGCTAAAAAGTTTTATTTATCATCTATATATATGTATATATATACTCTTACTATTATTATAAATAATTATTATTATTATAAAAATTATTATTATTTATTTTAACCAATTAAAAGTCGAATGAAAAAATGCATACTATATACCATATATAAAAAGAAATATATTTGTATATTTTATTTAAGACCAGATCAGCTTAAATAATAAAAAAAACTGGTCATGTACAAAACATAAAAGTATCCAGTGTCTTTTTTTAGTATTTTTTTATATATTTATTAATTTTTTGTATTTGATATTAGTTGGTGTATGTATTTCTTATAGAATGTGTTCAAGGTGAAACCTTTATCATTATAAATGTCAATTATTATAATAAAAATATTGCTGTTGCTTAATAGATGTATCTATTATATAGGTTCTATTGATGTATATATTATAGTTATAATCAATTATTATAATAAAAATAAATTGTTATAAAAGCAATGCAATTGTTGTTGCTGAATAGTTATATCTATTGTATAAGTTCTATTGATCTATATATTTTAGTTAAATAATCATTTTATTTCAAACATTTTTCTATATTTGCTCAAAGAAATATAATATTGCTAGATTTGAATCGAAAAGGTTTTTAAATATTAACCCAAACAATAATGGGAAGATTTATGGTTAGCTTTAACTAATTTGGGTGAAGAATGTAGCTTTCTAGAAATAGCAAAAAATATTCTATATTTACATTAAAGATATGACCCTTTAAATAATAAGAATGTTGACAGATGAAATATATGTAGTTCTATATAATATAATTGTTATAGAATATTATATATTTCGTTAGTTTTTAACGAATATTGGCGTATATTATTTAAAATATTCTGTAATCTAAAATAGAAAAAAAAAATTAGAAATATTTTTGCTTGTTTTCTGTTTTGTTTATAAACAAAAATATAAACAAATATTACACAACAATCGCCGTAGTTACGCAAAAACCATGTGATAAAAAAATTAAAGATAAAAATAAAATATTTAATACAATTTAATATAATGTATATTAGATACTCCTATTTGTTTAGGAATCAGAAAAACATTCATGTAAATTGATAAATAATAGTACGTCAGTCGTCAGCACGGGTTTGCTGCTGTTGCTGCTGCTGTTGTTGTTGTTGTTAGCCATTCAATTGAATTATTATACAAGAATTGCTAATTTGTTATTAGAATTTGTTAAAAAGAAGATGTCGAATAAATTAAGAAGTCTAAAGAAGAATTTAAGAAGATTTAAAGTCAATAAATAAATTATAAAATAAAAGTAAAATGAAATTAATAAAATAAATAAACAAACTGAAAACCGACAACATTTCCTGACATTCAACAATCGAAGTATATACATATATATTCGTAAATGGCGTGACTAATACAAAACAAGAATTTCTAATTTTATATAATGACGATCAAAAACTTTTGAACTCAGGAAAAATACAATACCAATACAATTCGAATAAATTGTGCAATGAGAACTTAGACTCTTCATAATTAAAAACCATACTAACTCAATATTTATATTTTGCAAGAAGAAATTTGCATTGTATTCTAGCAAGATCTGTTATGATCAAATATAATTTTTGTGATTTCGTTGTCGCTTGATATAAAAAATAATAACCTCGTAATGGGTCTGCTCTTCAAACTCTTAGTAAAAGAAACCTTTAACAATCTATACATTTCAGTCAGTCATTATCTTGTATCCAACATCGATTGATTAATACAATAAAACAGTAATACAATTCTATATTCGCCTCTAGAGTTTTAATACTAAACGCTAAGATATGAAAGACTTCCCGGTTCTTAACGAAACAGAACACTGTGATCTAACCGTATAGAAGATTTTAAACTTTTCAAATAAAGTTTCTGTATGGATGGATGAAGCCAGTATGATTCTCGTTAGTTATCAAATACTTTTTATACTCAAACAAGAATAATAGAATTATTTTTTCCTAAAGTCAAATTATTACGAGTCTTTAGAGAAAAATCAAGAATAAATAAATTGAAATACAATCAATAGATCAAATACAAACAAAAGAAGTACTTAGTGACAGAGCTGAGCTGGACTGTTTGCAGATTACCTGACATATTACCATGATCTCACGACTACAACAAGATGAGTCCTTCTGAAAAGTCGGAATGCCGCCTCCTACAAAATGAGACGAACTAGAATAGGAATAAAATACTGGGCTTGGAGTAGAATATTAGGCCGGTATATATTATCCCTGTTTGATATAAAAAAACTTTCAACGGAAAAAATTTTCAACTTCATACGATATCTTCTGTTAGGTGAAGGTTAGTTGCTATCAGAAAAAATATATCATGGTCTTAGTGCTTCGCTTTGTTAGAAGTGCAGTACTGTTTTATTTTCTTTCCTAAACTAAGTGACTTTTGGAAGATCTCTGGTAACCCTCTTCGTACTAGAATTCTTTATAGGTTTTTGTTTTTGAATATTAATTTTTACACAGTTTGTTCTTTAAAATTATTCGATTCACAAGTAAATTTATTATAAGCATAGAGTCAAAAATAATTTTTATGAAGAACTGAATTTAAAAATAATTTTTAAGAAATTACCTGTCAGTAAATTTAAAATTTAAATATACTTTTCTACTTAACTATAATATATGATATATATACTCGCATATGTTATGTGCCATAAATAAAGGTTTGCAAATTTCCGGTTTTTTTTTTTTTGATATACACAAAATTAATAATTAAAATATTCAAGATTTTCGAAGCGTGCCAATTTCTATTTACGATTTCTTCTATAAATAAGAACTTTCCTTTGTTTTATTTTTTAAAAAAATTGTTTACTTTTCGAATTTGTTAGTACAATCGACCAAGCCACCTTGAACCAAATTTTGTTTTTTGAAGTCCGAAAAATTGAACACTTTTAAATGTAAACAAACTTTTATTTGCAAATAATTTTTTAAACTCTTCCAAATGATGCCCGATGCCCGATGACCATTGTCTTCTCCTTCATTCGTCCGTAAATCATCTCCTATCTGCACTTTAAGTACATTTTTTTTAAATAGTTTCAATTTAACCTCTAGCTTATATATTAACATATATTAGATATAAAATTAAACTAATTCATATTTTTTTATAAGTAAAATATTAATAAATTTATTGCTTTTATTTACAGGTTAAATATAACTATACGTCCTCTTGCTCTTTTCTTCTTGGGTATTTTCTCCTTTTGGTTCTGCAAAACGCGATGCAATTTGCGAATCATCCCACCGCCTGAGTTACAAGTGAAAATTGATAATATTGTAAAACGTGTTAACGAGTGGCGTCAAAATAATCCCAAAATGTTCATGCGAGTATTAACTGGTTGTCTATGTACCTTAGCCCTATTTGGCCACTTCATCTCTGGTTCTACGGTTGTTTTAACTGGATTGATAATAGCAGCCATTCTTTCAGCCAAATATAAATTTCAACTATTGCAAGTTAAATCCGAAGGTAGGTTATTTCGATTTAAGTTGGTTATCATGTTTTATGACACAGTTTTTTCCTAACACAGATTATATGTGGACAGAGAAACTTGTAGATGAACCTGAGCCTGATGATGAATTTTTACCAGAAGTAAATGAATCAAATTTGTTTGTTTTAGAACGTGCTGGGGACTTAGCTTCGATTAGTTCAGTCGTTGAAGAAGCAGAGGATGATAATAGTGATGAAATACCATCGGAACTCTTAATACCAGATGCTATACCTGAAATAGATGAAAGTTCAACAGAAGAAGATGATGAATTAGTTCCAATAGAAAAAATAGATGCCAAAACAAAAGAAATTGAATTCAAGAGAGGCCACTTCAAGCGTGACTCTTCATTGTCATCATCATCGTCATCAGAGGAAAGCTTGTCAAAGGGTTTGCAATTCCCCGATCATACAACGGTGGACAGCGGCACAGTCCGTCTGCGTCAAATAGAAGGCGCCCCACTGCCGTCTCAAATACAAAAAGATATTAACGCACCTCCCCTCTCAAATTTGGTATCTAAAGGACAACAAATAGTGCCAAACATTTTATCCGGTATTATACAGTGGGGTTTGAATGCCGCAACTACCGCAACCACCGCTAAACCTATAGAAGCTGTAAAGCAGCAGCGTGTGGTTACCGCTTTAGATTCTTCTGATGACAGTGATTTTGAAATTTTAGACAAGGAAGATTTCAAAAACGAGGAATAAAATTGAAGATCTTTTTAGGGATTACGGCAGTAGTATAAATTTTTTAAAGAAGCTACATTTAGGCGGGTTATGTTAAGAATATCCAAAAAGCAACCATTTGATTTAAAAATTACCTTTTTTCTCTACTAAAAATAATACATAAAAATGAGCACTAAAGCGTTATGCACTTAACTGAAACTGATCTCACAGTTTATGTGTATTCATAAATATTCTGATCGGTAAAGAGAACATTTTAAATTACAATTATTAATTACGAAAGTTATTTCCATAATTCATACACTAATTTTTATTATATGTTCAATATTTTTTATATAATTTTATATTTAAGGTGCAAATTTAACGCTAATTTATTATAAATTAGAAATGTATAACGTTATAAATTATTTAAAATTCATTTTCAAATTTCTCAATCTGCCTAATTAAGCTTCTTTAGTGACTTAAGCAAAAATTAAATATATTTTAGTTTAATTTTTTTACGATTTGGATTTTTGTTTTATAGATGCTATTTTTGTCTTATTATCTTAACATTATTATTTAATATATTTTTTACTAAGAAGTTATTTTGTTTTTCACCTTTAATATTACTTAATGTTAATATAAGCTACTATTAAAACTATAATTAAAGTTAAATATTAAATGTGATTTTATAAACAAAATATAAAATTGAAAGAATAATTATATTGATTACAATAAAACAAAATAAAATTTATTTATTTAAACAGCTTGGAAACTTATTATAATTTTGCGTTAGTACATTGTATCCAAAATTAACGCTAAGTCAATCGACAAATGTAATTAGCTCTGTAAAAAAGATATATGTATATATATATATATATTACTATTATATATATATATATAACAATAATATAAATAATACAACTTTTAAATAAACAATATGAGAGAAATAACAAACATATTTTTATTTTGCAAGATCAAGAATTTCACGTTTAAAGATTCGTTTATTTGTTTTAAAATAACTATGAACGACTTAAATACTATTTATTCTAGTTGTCGTTTTAAGTAAAAAGTACATTTGCTATTAATATTATTTTTAATTCTGTGAAGAACTTTATAATATGCAAAAAATATCATAGTCTCTGTGATATACCGCATAACATCTCCTAGGTGGTGGTATACCATATCATCAGACAACAACTGCCAACTGGCTTCATATTTTTCAACTACCCATAGTTATTTGGCGATGACAACAATACTCGTAACGAGTATTGCTCGTTACGAGAATTCGTAAGAGTTCTGTGGAAACTGCCAACAATGTAGTCATATCTTGTTTGATTACTCGAGATGCTTACATTTCTGAACAGGGAATTCATTAGCATAAATTATATGCTGTGTGGAATCACGTCCACGTATCCTAAATAGAATGTATGTCCTATTTGACAAACCTTATCAAGTGCTGGCTTGGCCCTTAATCAGTTGCCGATAACTTATCAGCCCCAGTTGAATTATAAAATTTGTAGAATCAAAAAAAATTCATTATCTCAAAATAATTAAAACTATGTTTTTAGTAACAATAATACAAACAAACGATGATTTATATTGTTCATAATACGTACACTGTATTATGTTTATTATTATAAACTTAATGTTTTCTGCACTTTAAAATTATATTGTATACAACACATTAATATTAAAATATTGCACGTTGTAACCACCAATATCATCTCGGTAGTTGGTCAACTTTACTATCGGAGTCCCCATCAGTACAGTTCAAATCCTTTGATTTCTTTGGCTTAGCACCCTTTCTCAATGGTATGGTCTCGAGAATTGCATCAGTCCAACTTTTGCCTTCATATACTCCAACAAGCAATTCAAAAACTTAATAAATTGTTAATATAATAGTAGCCACATTTATATAAAACGAAACAGAACATATTGCATAATAATAAATAAATATTGACGCCAATAAGTTAAAAGAATCTTGAGCTATAAGACACTGCTTAAAAAAACCATTTATTAATGTTGATGAATTAATAATAAAAAAAGCATTATATTAGGATTTGTTGTTGTTGTAACCCACTGGATCCTATAAGCAGATAACATGAAAGGATGTTCAAGACGTAGTTGGGACGTAATCAAGTAGTTGGGAGTGATGGAGAGGGGGTGTCTGAAGCGGTGATGTTTATATCCATAAGCTTTTTGTCCTATCTCATTGAAGAAGCCAGATTTCTTCCTCTTGATCCTGGTTGATTTTAATTAAATCATACCCACCCGCAATTTACTCCCATTCTCTAATAATCTCCCTTCCTTTCACTTAACCACTCCCTTTCTACATTCAAACCCATGTACTCGTCATGTAGTTCCTTCCATGTCATCTGTTTTTCAGATCTCCGCGGGCTACGACAACAACATCTTAAATAGACAACCAAGTACCCTTCACTCCTCCCACTGGAAAAGCAGGGCATTTAGGTTACAAAAAAAATAAGTAAAAATTATTTATCATGCACATAAATACAATAGCGCAGAATGACCAAAGAATCGTAAACTTAACATTGCTGTATATTCAACGTACTCACCATGGAAGGTGCTGAGCACAGAACGCGTTTTCATATCAACATATTCACTGAGCGGGAGCCTTGCTGTTTTTAAGTCAGCTTTCACAGCGCGTTCATGGCATAATCCTTTCTGATGGTTATGATCTACCAAACCGCCTATTACGTATATACATTCAGCATCTAATTTTTCTAAAACTGTATCAGATTCACAAGTTAAGTAAACAATTTGGTTTTTCGCAAAAATATCTATGTGCGTTTTATTGAAATGATAATCGACATTCCAATTTTGCCAACCATCGTTCTTTTTTAATATGTTATGTATACGTCCATTTTCTTTAATACCAGTAAAATGTAATCTGCACGGATTATGAGAACGACGATTTATTGTGTATATACGTAAACACTGTTTAATACATTTTGCCACGTCGCCATCATGCATCAAATCATCATAATCGAGATCAATTGCGACATTTAGAGCATTTGGGTTTTCTATAGCTAGTAAAATATAAATGTATAATTAAAATATGTTTTGATATTTTTAAAATCTATAATAGTTTATATATACATGCTTTTGTACGTTTCTTCAATTCTTTCCTAGATGGACCTGTGCGTACCGGCAGGCCTTTTGCAGCTGCTTCCTGACGTCGTACTTTTAATTTTTCTCTCTCCTTAATGCGACGCTCCTTTTTAAGGGTTTCATATAGCTTTAGTTTTTTTTGTTTCTTAATTTGATTTTTACTTAAAGGATTTGGTGGTGTTTCTCCAGGATTTTTTGTCTTTGCTAGTAGGAGTTCTTCTTCGTTTGTTGCGCTTTCTGGAAGTTGAACTGTACTCTCAGTAGAAATTTCAAAGGCCATATTATAAAATATTGTATGAATATTTCAATACATAAAATTTTCGATTTGTTTACTAAGTATTTTATGATTTTAAACTTCGTAACAATTTTCACGAATATTATTTACATTCCTCTGTTTGTTGATGAAAAACAGCTGAAGTACATGTGCAAATAGTTTCGGTGATGCCACATGAGAAACAACCTACTGGACAAAGTGACCATGTGAATTCACTCAAATTTCATTAGGGATGTATTTAAATACGACACACATAATATTTGTACTATTTATACTTCGCAAATAACCAAGTATTTATTAACAATAATTACAAAAGTCAAAATAACGAATAACAATAAAAAAAGTATATCATATAACCTTTACAGTAACAAATGAAATTTACTAATATTAATATTAAAATACTAGAAAATTTATTAATGTATTTTTTAAATTTTTATACAATTTAACAATTGTAACAATGTGTCTACCACATGATAATGATTTTTTATCATTATTTGACAATTCTTTTTTGGCAAAATCGTTTATTTTAAATTAGTTTTCCTCGCCCTATATGCTGATATAACTTCATTTTTAAAGTAATGTCTCTTGAATGGTATGATATGACACAAATAATCATCGTTTCTATGGACGCTATGAAAAACTACCACTAAATTTTGTATATTTCGTTATTATAAGCAATAGCCATGATTTTTTCTTTCAGTGTACCAAACAAATACTCGCATCTTAAGAAATAAAACATGTAAAGCAACAATAATGCTCTTAAAATCTTTAGAGTTAGGTTTTACTCGCAAAAAAAATTTAAAGTTTTAAGGCTGCCAAATTCAAAAATCTGTCTATTTGGAAATGTTCATTGAAAATATGTTTCAAAATTGAAGTCGTTCGTATCATATCATATTGTACACAACAAAAACATATGTTGAACAAAAGCATTCAACATATTTTAAAAGTACTGCCGATTTCTTTCAACCAGAATTAATGTTATTTTTTTCCTGCTCGTAAAGAAAAATGTTGATGTTATATATCTAGAAAATAAAGCTTTGTCGGTTTTTAGTCTATCGAAAAAAGCTGCTCAGGATTGTGAAATATTTGATATGTAAGATATTAAATCTCAATTGCGTATTTAAAATTAATGTATATAAAATATTTGTCATTGTATATTTATATATCATATATTATAACAAAAAGGAAACAATGTGTCACAAGTATATGTATTATTTTTATATTTATCAAAACACTAAACAATTCTGTATCTCTTCCAAAATTGTTTCAAGCATCTTTATGATTTTGCATTAATTTTTTGTATATAAATGGCAACCAATCGTAGTTCTGAATATGTGGCAACGTATTTACTTAGCGGCAGCGTCAGATTTTAAAACAATGCTAACGGCATAAGTTGCGTTGATTTGGCTAGAGTTTGTTGTTAACTGGGGAAGTGGAAAAGGAAGTGGAAAATTTACATAGAATATACTATGATAAAAATTGAACAATTCGTACTAGATATATTTTTGTATATTGTTAACTACAATTTATTGTTTATGTAATATTATGAATGGAATATAACAAATGTCAAATAGTTGAGTAAAGAAAATTCTAAATATATTAGAATTTCATACCTACTTTGTATTGTCAAATTTCTAGAGAAAAAAACATATAAAACCAAACGTTTCGTAAACATTAATGGTGAGAGAATGGACTTACGTTTGTGGAAAAAAATTCTTCTGCAATGGGTAAGTAGTGAAAGAGCGCGGATATTTGTCGCGAACTGGCAGATGTTCGGGTCACACACACATATGTACTCATAGATGAAAAACTAATTTACAGATCACCGAATGTGGGTTTACGGAACGTAACTTCTACAACTTAGAACAATCTGATTTGGAGGAATTTTTTCAAAATTTTTGTTTGAATCATCGGGGCACAGTCGAAAATGACACACAAAACATCATATCCTTTCTTCAAGGTATGTGTCAGATGTCACTGATGTTATGTGTAACTATATGTGTTTATGTATTTATGCTTATGTTATCTTTTTTTTTAGAACATTATCCCAAATTCAATCCAATATTAGATGATGAAAATTTATTAAGTTCTGCGGAATATGTGTATGTTTATTCATTACTTTTACATTTTTGTTGTGTAAAAGATCCGGAGTCTTACTTTCATGAAATATGCAAAAAGTTATCCGAACAAACTCAACAAAATATTGCTGACTATTTCAAACAACTCTTGGATTGTGAAGTTATAACGAAAGAAAGTTTACGTCATGCAATTGCTAATGTGCCCTCGATCACAGAAAGTAGTCCACAATCAAGTGGTAATAGTCCTGCTAATAACACACCACCAATAGCAAATGGACATGTAAATTCACCAGCAAACACACCAATACGACAATTTGCCATGCTTAATCGTATATCACCTTCAACACCAAAGTCGTTTTTACTAGAAGAACGCACACGCGAATTATACCAACTGAGGGTAAACCAATTCCATTAATAAATGAAGAAAAAATTTAGATCAAATCAATTTTTAGGCTTTGCTAGATACTGAACGGTATGAAAAGGGTCTTCTAGAGGTTCAACTGAAACAGAATGAAGAAAAAATCACAAAACTATGTAAGTGTTATATATATCATATATCCTTGCTAATCAAGTTTTACTACATTATTATCAATAATTGCAGCACAAGATCAGAAACGTATGCAGCAAGTTATACATGATCTGCGAAATGAGCTACTTTACAAAACTACAGAAGCATGTTCAACTATTCCAGACGATGAACAGGTAATAAAATGAAAGTCATTGTTATTGTAAGGATTTCCCATAACATTTTTCAGCAGGTATTTGCCTGCAAGACCACTTTACAGATAATAAATTTATAAGTCAATATAAAAAAAACTCAGTTTCATATGCCTGAAACGCTGTAATGAACTTTAAAAACCTATTTCATTTACTGTATAAAAAATTTTAATTCAAGCAATATAAACTGAATATTCGCTCGGATTGAGGTGATTCAGTTATGCTTACATTGTTGGCTTCATAAAATTTGTGAAGATTGCATATAATTCCTTTTTAAATGTACTAGACAGTGTTATGCTTTATATCAGTTCATCGTCCATGCAAAAATTGATTTAGTTCGTTTTCTCTTACGAACTCCAGAACATTCACTCAATCACTCTATAATTGACTACTACTATTCAATATTCAGTAATGACAAACTGCTTGTGAATAATTTTACTAAGGTTTATATATTTCTTTTAAAGGAAGAACAATTGAAGAAACGTCTATGCAAGGAAATTTCCCAAAAAGAGGAGGAAATTACTAAAATAACATCCATATTAAATACACTTAAAGAAGAAAAAGATTTGGTGACTGAAAAGGTAAATTTATTAAATTATATCATTTTATGGAATCTGTTTTTTAAATTTTTTTTTTTTGGTTTCTTTATAGCTTTCATTTGCTAATAGTAATCTGACAGACTGTATTGAGCGAATAAATCAACTGGAGGCTACTTTAGATGAACAGGCATTAGAATTAGAGGTAAGGAGAATAGTAGTTATAACAGCTGCAAAATGTCTTTTAATTGGTTTATGCTATGTAATATAGTATGAGTATAACTTTGAATACTGGATGTCTTTGAATTGATGTCAGTAGATAGAAATTGCAATGAATTTTTTAACAATTATTAGCTCGTACAATACATGTGCTTACTAATAAATAATTAAAAACAATTTCATATCCCATAAATTGCTTGGTTTTTGAAAGTATATAAGCTTTGCTAATTTCGATTTAACTTTCTTTATAATATAAATAAAAAGGTCTTGAAGAGATTTTTGTACTTGTAATTTACTTCTGCTAAGAAACTCTCTCTATTAAATACAAAAGTTTCTATTAAATAAAATAGTCACTGTCGCCGTAAATGACGTTAAAATCAAATTTAGTAAAATAGTTTTTTTTTTTAGGAATTGAATGCATTTAATAATTATTCTAAAACTTTCGTTGCAGGCTAAAAGTAGCACCATTTTATATCTTACAAATAGTAAATTAGAATTGGAACAGTTTATAGCAGAAACTCGCAAAGGAAATAACAATTTGAACTCTTCCAATGATTTTCTGGATAACTCCTTCTCACAAACATCAAATGGTTCTGGCAGTCAATTGGTTCCAGAAAATTTAGCTAATTCTGTTGTAGATAAGCAATTACGTGAAAAGGAAGTGGAGAATTCACAGTTACGGGAAGAACTTGCCACACTACGTTCAGATAACTCGAAATTAGACTTTGAAATGCAGGAATTGCTAATGAGAATTGCTCAGGACTTTAGCTTATCGTTAAGCACAGAAGCGGAGGCCGAAAATGATACTCCTAAAAAGCCTGAACAAAAGTTACTACTATTATCTGATTGCATACATAGAATAAATACTGATTATAAAAGTGCGCAATGTAAGTTTCAAACACTCACAGACGAGACACATGCCTTATACAATGTGAATTCACATCTTAATAGTCAATTGAAGAAGTTTGATGAGGATGTGCGCAATCTTAAGGATATGTTAAAATCTGTTGAAAGTCGTAATAGTGAATTGGAAGAAATCAAAAACGAATTAAAAGAACAACTTTCACAGTGTAAACTCGAAAGCAACATGTTAGCACACCAGAAAACGAATATAAAAGCTGCGATGGATTTGTTGACGCAAGAATTCGAAGAGTATAAGGCGACCACTAGTATAGAGCAAAATAAGTTACTAAAAGAAGTTAAAGAACTTAAGGAATATAAAGAGAAGCTTGTTTTATTGACTAGTGGTTATGAACAATTTAAAGAGGCTTGCAAAGTGGAGCAAGAGAAGCAAGTGGCTGAAATTAAGATATTACGAGCCCAAGCAGAACAGCATCATATGAGCAATACTAAATTAAATGCGATTAAAGCACAACTCCAGGAGGAAATTGAGAACTTGCAATGCAAGCTAAGGGAGTCGAAAGAAAAATTACTTTTCAAATCAACAGAATTCGAGATGGAAGTAAAAGTTTTGAATGAGAAAATTAGTAACAAACAGCTTGAGTTAATGTCGCATAAGTCAGCCGAAACTTTAGTGAAGGAGAAGTATGAGAAATTGTTTATAGAGTTTGAGGATATGAAAACGACTGCACGTGACACTAAAAAACATCTTGAAGAAATGCGTGAAGAAATATCGAGCAAAGAACTACAAATGTCTAAGTTAGGTAATGAAATAATTGACACGAGTAGAAGCAATGTAGAACTAGAGGAGCGTATTAACATATTGATGGAGCAATATAAGAGAGAAAAAGAAAAATCAGGATACGATGTCGCTGTAAGAGAAAATCAAATAAGAGAGTTATCATCAGAAAAGTTAGAGCTGGAGAAAATATTAACTCAAACTAATACGGAACTTGAAATAGCGACTACTGAAGCACTCAGCTCGAATTCTGAAATATCTAATATAGCAACAGCTATTGAAATATTAATGTCCATAATTGAAAAACCATTTGGAAATAGTAATCTATGTGCTTGCCTTGAACAAATTACAACTAAAGTGAAGAATTTGACATCCTCTCTTAACGAAGTAGAAAGCAAATTTGAACGATTATCAAGAGAGCATACAGAAGTGAAAAATAAGTTAGAGAAAGCCGAAAAAAAACTGGAACATACTTTAGACGATAATATACATTTAACGAAGAAAATGGAGCATGTCAACACTGATACAAAAAAACTATTAAAGTTGTCGCAAGAACGCATTTTAGAGTATGAGCGGAGGTGTGATAAACTTACTGAGGAAGTGTCTCGTGGTATAGTGGAAATGGAGAAAAAACTTAAAGAAAGGGATGAATTCAATCAAGTACAAGTAACAGAAGTAAGCAACAAATATGAGAATACTTTGCACACACTTAGAGAAGAGCTTAAAAGTGAGAGGCATTTTAAGAACAAAGAGTGTAGTAGCATAAAGAAAAAACTACTTGAAGCTGAAAAATCAAAAGAACAGTTGGAACTAGAAAAATCTGAAGCAGAATTCAAGCTCGGCTGTAAACTAAAAACTTTTGAAGGAAAATTAGAAGAAATGACTTCTACAAATAATAAACTGAGTGAAGAAATAATACAGTATAAGCTTGAGCACAATAATACCGTTGATCGTCTTGGACAGTTGTCGATTTCGTTAAGAGAAGCGTGTGACCATAAAAATTCTTTATTAGCGGAACTTAAATCCAAAGAAGAAAAAATTCAAACTTTAGTGGAAGAACTGGAATTAAGCAAAAAAGCTATACAAGCACTGGAAGACGTAAAATCACAGCAAATTGACTCTATAATAAATCTTAAAGAGGAAGTGGAAGATTTTATGATTGAAAAGCAGCGTTTAGACGTAAAATATGAAGAACTTTTGGCTAAATTAGATTGTGAACAAAAAGAGAAAGCAACTCTATTGCAGTCGCTTGAAAAAACTGTCGATCAACTAAAAGAATCTGATGACAACCTCAATGAAGCGACAAAATTGCTAGAGGAGAGCGAATTCAAAAATATAAATCTAATTAAGGACTACGAAAACAGACTGCAAGTCAGCATGGAAAATTTACGACTTGAGCGCAACAACTGGGAATTAAAGTTTAATGAACTGCAACAAAAATTATTCCATGAAAGTGAGAAATTAAAGTCTCACGACACAATCATCTTGGAAATAGTAGCAGGTTTGGAAAACTATAAAAATCTGCAAGTTGAACACGAATCTCAGAGTTTTCCAAATCGTTTTAATGCAAAAGAAGGAAATAGTGATAACTTGAACAAGCTAAAAACAACCTTAAACTCCGTTGTATATAAATTGGATTTCGTCGAATCACAATTAGAGTATTCCAAACGAAACCTAGTAGAAATGGACAATGTCATTAAGTCGATCACTAAAAACGACAAGAAACTAAAGGAGAAACTTGATAACAGCGAAAAGGAAATTTTGCAATTAAAAAAAATGTTGGAAGTAGAAAATATTTGTTTGGAAAACAAATTAAGTCAAGATCTGATTAGAATGAAAGGTGATATGCAAAATTTGGAAGCTGTTAACGAAAAGCTTTCAGCTGAAAATGCAGATCTGCAAATTAAGTGGTCAGAATTGGAAACAGAAATCGATAAATATCGTAAGAATATTAACACATTACGGGATCAAAATAAATCACTACTTGCAGATAATGAACATAAAAAAGGACAAATTGATCATCTGAGAAAAGAGCATTTGTCGCTAGAGGGATTACTTCAAGCGAAAGAAGATGATTTTGTAGATTTAAAAGCGCAATCCGCTAAAGTGCAGAAACAATTGCTAGAAAAGACAGAGGATTTAGCTAAAACCGAAAATGAGATCAGTTTAGCTAACGGCACAATTAGGCACACACAGTCTAAACTAACTAAGCTGGAAACACAACTGAAGGAAATACAAAAGGATTTAAGTGAACAAAATCAAAAATATGCACGCCTGCAAACATCAAATGGAAACTTTGTGCTTGAACTTGAACAGAAAACTCAATCTCTTGAAAAAGTACAGCTTAAGCATGATGAAATGTTCATACAACAGCAGTATTTGGATAAGGAGTTGAAAAGCGCACTCTCTGAATTAGATTCTTTACGTGGGAAGAAAGCAGATACAGATAGCAAATATGCGGCGCTTCAATCCGAGTTGAAAGAATTAACTGAGAAATTCAACTCTAACAAAATTAAACATGACTCTGCACTTGCAGAAATCGTTAATTTGACTGTCAAGCTAAGCGATGAGCGAACCGAAAAACGACAGTTGTCTGATGAACTAAAAATAAGCAGGAGAGAACTGCAGCAAGCAAATGATAATATTACAGAGCTTATACAGCAGATCTCTTCTGTTCGTAGCGAAAAGGAATCCTGTTCAGAAGAAACTCAGATATTACGCAAACAGATTGAGCAGAGCGAAAAAGCGCAATCTGAAGCTCAAGAGAGATTGAAATCTGTGCAAGAGAATAGTCTGACAGTTGAGAAGCAGCTACTTCAAATTCAAAACGAGTTTAAAACATTAGTCACACAACACGATAATAAGACAGCACTCGTCAACAAGCTAACTACTGAAAATGATAAATTACGAGAGAACCATGCTAACACCACAAAAAGACTAGAAAAGCTTGCTCTAAAACTGGGAGATGTACAAGCACGTTGCTCAAAACTTGAACGCGATAATGAACGTCTCTCAAAAACTAAGGAGGGTGGCACAAGTGCATTTGAATACTTGCAACGTGAACGTGATACTCTGCAAGAAGAGTGTAAGTCTTTAAAAGAGCGTATCAATAAAATTGAGATAGCTTACGAACACTTGAAGAATAAAGTTCAAAATCTCGAGAAAGAAAAGAAAGAACTGGAGAATGATAAGATTAATCTGGTGTCTAATGAAAATGAAATCAAAACAAAATTCTTAAAGCTTGAGAAAATGCGAGAATGTAATGAAGAGAAACTACGCAAACTGAATCAATCACTAGCCAATTGCGAGCAAGACAATGTGCGATTGAATCTTGAAGTCGGTGCACTCAATAACCAACTGTTGGAAGCGTGTAAGAAAAAAAACGTTACCAATGCAGAATTCGAAAAGGTTAATAAAGAATACCTCGCTTCTATGGACAAGATTAAAGTCTATGAAGACCTAAATAAAAAATTAGAAAGGGAAATGTGTAGTATGCGTGATGAGCACATTGACTTGACGGACCAAATATCTAAATTATCGCTTGGCTTAGAAATTTCCAAAACAACTGTGGCTGATGTAAATAAAGAAATCGGCCAATTGCGTACAGAGTTACTAATCATTAGGGAAGAAAAAACTCAGTTGAATGAAAAATACACTACCACTGTTGCCGCGTTGCAAATTGCGGAAAATAAAATCAAGGCTCTGCTAGTGGAAAAGGAAGATGTTGATAAAAAAATGGTCGAAACCCAAATTGAGTTGGAAAGTAAAAATGCACAAACCAATGTGTTACAGAAACAAATCGATTCGCTTCAGGCAACTAATAATGTTTCCAATATGTCCACTGAGGAGCTTGAAAAACTACAAAAACGTTTTGCTTTGTCAGATGCACTGCTATTGAAAGAAAAAGAAAACAGTTCGCAATTGTTGATGGATAACCAAATTTTGCAGGCCAAGTACCGCGATCTAAAGGTTCGCTTCGAAGAACAAACCCAGATCAGTGAGAAGCGCATTAAGGAAAATCGGTTGGAATTGGAAGGCAAACTGGAAAAAATGAAAAATAAAATGGTGAGTTTAATTTACATAATTTTTTCTATTATTTCCTGAAAATGTTTTAACCTCAAATCCAGTCATATTGTTTTGTTCCTATATAAATACTTTTGTTAATTATAGAAAATAGGGCATCACACTGTTCTTAGAATAAAATTGAATTGAGATCGTTTGTTTTATTGTTTTTTGTTACTTGTAATGTTTTTTATTGTAGTCCGGTTAGTTGCTATGTTATTAAGGGAACTAACTTGGTTAGTATTCCTTGCAAATGAAACTCGAAAGTTGTCAGCGAATGTTGTCAGTGGTACTTGACCGATTAATGGCAAAATGTTTTGTGTTTGTTTGTTGTACTGTTGAATGTTAAGCTTATATTTTATTTTTCTTCTTCTTAAGTTTAATTTAACTTTATCTATAATATCTATATGGTTCCGACAAATTTTATTCGAAAGTTGATATTAATTTATAAAATATTTTTGAAAATTGTTAATTTGATTTCGTGGCACATGTATATTATATATCATGTATATTAAATATGAATTACGTCTTTGTATTTGAACCATTAAGGCTGATAGGTACACTTGTAAATAATAACCTTTGAGATTTTATCAAAGGAAAGTTTGGAAAGTTTTGGTGCCATTAGAAACCACATTGGTGTTCATTCTATATTCGTTCGTTTGATATTTTTTTTACCCGTGATATTAATAGTCTTGTTGCAAATATGTTAAAATGATACAATTTAACTTTTGCATTTTATTGATTTGTTACAAAAGGTTAAATTAAATGAAATAAAAATAATCATAAAAAAAGAGAAGATAAGAAATATCTCCATCGTACCACAACTCTAGACTTCGTTGTTACTACCAAAATAGTAATAATAAATACATTATAAAAGTATATGAAATTATTGTCATTGTCATAGATTTTGCATAAAATTCAATTGAAGATCTGTGCTATAGGCAAAAAAATCATATATATATCATAAATATATACATCATGGATCTCTGATATGAGGAGTCACATTTTTACAAATTACTGTTTTTTGCCTATATTTAAATTTTCGTGGTATGGTATATATATATATATATATATATATATTGAATGATAATATTTTACAAGAACGAATCTTAGTCCAAGGCTTTTGACATAACGTCTTTGAATAATTTTATCTCTCAAAATCGTGAGTTTTGATTGAGGTCTTTATTATTTAATCTTTGAAATAACCTTTATAGAGCCCACACATTGAGTACATTATATACTAAAGAAATGCTTGATTTTAATTACAAATTCACTATTATATATACTTATATATAGCGGCTATATATATACATATATTTTTTGTATATATATTTAAATTATATAGCAGTTCGATAATTTTTTATAAATTCTGACAATGTTTATGTTTTTGTTTTTTTTTCTATGCACAGCAGATGCATGAAGAATATAACGACGGAATTAATGGTCCCTCTCCTTGGAAGAGAAGACTCAAGTCATGCAGTTATATTTTTTTCTTATTAGTGTTTGGAGTTGCCTTCTTTGGGATTTTTTGCAATTATTATTTGAGCTACTATGACTTGGAGTTAATGTTCAAGAGCACCAAACCCGAAGTATTTTAAACAAAACATTTTGATTAAAATTCAAGATAGTATTTTAGGTTATTGAATCCAGAGAAATTAATCCGCTTAATAATATTATAGAATTATATATTTTGATGAAAATTAAACCATAGTAACATATATATGAAGAATATATGTTTATATTATAGATTTAACTACAGCTGTGATGTCCTATAACTCTTTAAGTATATTTTTTAGTAATTTAATATATACGTACATTAATACATGTAAAGTTTAAAATCCAAAATCCGAATAAAAACAAAAAAAGTTGTATTTGTTTTTGTTTTATTTTTTGTAATTACCCATTTATAAATAAAATCCTTTTCTAAATTCGTCCCCATATTAAAATGCCATCCACATTGCACTGCAAATTTATAGAAAACATTGTACACCGAGGAAACAACAAAAATGAGTACGAAACATGAACGCGAGATCGCGATTTGTAAATCAGAAATGGAAATTATTACTGCTCAGGTAATAGTCTCATCAACATAATGCACTAAATATTTGATTCCAGTTACATTTAATTTTTAGAATAAAAAATATGAAGAGCACACACGTAAACTATCTAGTCAAATTGTACGTTTAAATGATAACATATTGGAGTATCAAAAGCAAAACGCTATACTTAAAACCAAACTGAAGCACTTGGAAGATAGTGCTGGAGGTCCATTTAAACGTCCAAGTATGATTCATGTATCTTCGACGGCCTCACTTGCTTCTGCTAATGGTATCGGGACAAATTTAGCTATGGAAGATGAGGAAGGAGAAGTATTTAACAATACTTATCTAACAGACTTAAAGAATGGGCGCTGCTCTGATTTTATGAACAATGATATGTGGTAAGTGGATCTATTTATTTATTATAACAATCGATCGCACTCTCTCCAGCAAATTTGTTCTTGAACTATTATAACTAACTGTAGATAAAAATTGTAAATTATAAATTTTAAAGACATTATATTGGTTCTTAATCCAATCCAACAGAGTAGAATTTAAATTTATTGTTTCTGTTGTTTTACGATCACTGAAAAACGATTCAAGACATGAGGAAATGATGGTAGAGAATAAGAGTTTGGGATTTTTAAATTAAAATTGGAATTAAGGAATTGAATAAATATTAGTAGTTTTTGACTTGATCTTCAATAAATAATTGTACAAAATTTTCTAAACTTTATTATTATTTACAGTGCTGAAGAACTGAGATACCGCAATTCTTTGGTGCTACCACATCTGAAAAGTAGTTATGCACCCCAATACGATGTTGGCTTGAACGAGGATGAATTGAAAGTAAGCATCCCTAACATGCATTCAAACACATAAATTACAAATGCAACACTCCTTAAAGGATAAATAAAACAACATCCAAGCATGTCACGCATTTTATAATTAAATTTATATAGATATGTTTATATTCAGTACAATATATATATATGAGTTATCCGATACATCTTTATTATGACGCTTTTTACATTTTGAGAAAAACTAATTTTCTTAATTAAAATTATTTATAATAATAATTTTATTACTGTATTATTACTGTAAACTTTATTACGTTACGTTTTATTATTTATAATTTAAGTTTTGTAAATATAATATTAATTCTCTCTAATTACGATGAATATTATTTCTTTTGTAAAGTAAGATTATTGTTAAAAATTAATAATGTAAAATCTTACAATTTAATAAGATAATTATATAGTTTATTTATGTCTTAAAAAATAATATGATTTCATTTAAAAAGCATAAAATTGTTTTTATTGCATGCGATTTTGTGTTGTCCTTTGTGTTGCCCTTATATGTTTCATGTTGCGTTTATTAAACAAATTAAGAATTAATTATTGTTTATTTAGTAACCAAAATTCGTTTTAAATAATAAATATACGTTTACATTTTAGGATGGTCCCCACAGCTTAGATGATAGTATGATCGGTTTGCTCAGTACTACAGCTGGGTCACGTAAAAAAGTTAGCGGTGTTACGCATTATAAAAAACCTGGCCCTCCTACGCCTAGTAAAAATGGTGGTCGTCTCTCTTTTGGTGGTTGTGGTGAGCAAGGCAGAGAGATATTGAAAGAATGTAAAGATGACAACAATCCATCTGGCTCCTCTGTCAAAACACCCGCTCGGTTTGCATTTTTCTCATCGAGATTCAGTATGGGCAATCCTAAAGATGAGGTAAGTTTACTTTTAAGTCAATTATTTTTAATATGTATGCGTACCTTAAGTTTTCGTCACAATAATAATTAATATTTAAACTATTCGTTTTGTTATATTTGTTTAAACCTAAATATTATCCTAATGTCATGTTAGTTTTAATTATATATGTATGTATGTTAAGTTTTTAATTTTTGATAGTCTTCTAGAAATATCGTTTTAGATTAATTAATTATAAATATTTCGTTTTCGAATCCATTTTGTTAGGATTCATATTCTTTTTGCTATTATTGTTGTTTTTATATATCACAAATATAATGTTAGAATTCGTGAAAACTTTTTAAATATTTAAATTTATTTAAAGTCACAAACAAAAACAAAAACATTTTGTTGTAATTTTTATTATTTTTAATATTTATTTTATTTATTGAAATAAAATTGTAATTTTTTGAAACAATAAAGAACTTTGTATTAAATATTCAAATTATTAATATATATTTAAGTGATAATAAGTGAGAATTTATAACAACTTTTTCACGAAAAAGGGAACTATTTTCTAGGGTAGCATTCGTTTTCATATGTTAAGTATGTAAATCTATAAAAATAATTCCATAATAATCATTTCTTATACAATAAATGAAATATTGTATATTCCATCTTTTTTCTGTTAGCTGTACTATTTTTTTTATCATTATTTGTTAAACGTATAAATTATAGTATATACTAAGTATGTTTAATAGGTCCATAGGTTCTTCTAATTGTGGTTGGATATTTGTTTTTGTTGTTTTATTCTTGTAAAATTTAGTTTTTGTCCACTATTTTGGTGTTTTGTGCTGTGGTTTGGATTATTTTTATATGAAAAATTAACTTTTCTTTTTATTTTCTTAAATCAAAACAAAAAAATAAAAACAACTTCATACTCCCATTTTGAAACATATATGGAAAAAGGACCCAACGAACAAGAATTTCCATTTGGTTCGTTTGAATGACACCAAAGCTGGACAAGTTTGTACCTCCACGCCGCGCAAGAGCAGAATATATTTTGACCAGCGACGTTTAATAGATTCATTGAGTTCTGCATCGAGTACAAATTCAAATTTGAAGCTAAAAATAAATGAAAATAATAAGGAAAATGAAATAAAGAAATACACATACCAAACATCTGTAATGACACCTTTGAAGAAAAATAAAGTGAAGTCAAATCCATTCCTTAAATGTATTGAAAATCAACAATTCATTCGAAACAGACGAAGTCGTTGTCTGAAACGGCGACTGTCGAAGCTGGGTCAAAAATGTGTGGTTGAGACTACGTCTTCAGCAAAAACAGATTCTCCGTATGACATACTTACCGGTACCGGTACGACAAGTTCAGGTGGCGTAAAAAGTTCATTACAAAGTCGTTTGCGTCGCAGGAAGAAACGTGATCGTGGGAGTCGCCCATCCATTTATTTATGCAGCAATATTTTTGCAAGGCAGAGGGCGCATCCCCGCAATAGTTTGATTGACATTAATCGCCGTAAAGCACGCAAACAACGTAACGAACAGTTTAATAAGTACCGTCCACTGCGTGTTGAGGAAAACGGAACGTTAAGTGATAGCGAAGTTGGAGGCGTGACTTTTGAGGTAAAAAATAATAATTACGCTAATTTTAATCACAATACTAGAAGTGATAAAACAGTTGTTATCACAAAATCAAAAGATGATTCAAATGATCTCACGATAGGATTGTGTAATAATTCAAACTCTAATATTGATGACCCAATTATAGAAGAATACAATAATAGTCGCAGTAGTAGTATAGAGGAAGTGATTGAATATGAACCGCCGAATGGGGAGTTGGGTAAAACCAAACTTGTAATTGAGGACAAATTCCTAAAACAAGAGAGCACCTATATTGATACCGATACGGACTGTGACGAGTTCGATGTGTCAGAGTGTAGCAAGTCAGAATTGATAGACTTTGAAAGAGAAGTGAACTTACATAAAGGAAATAATTTCCATTTGTTTAACAAAGACCATCAATTTGATGGGCTGAATAGTGCCGATTTTACAGCACAACTGAACGTAAAAGAATCGAAAGCACCATTCGAAATAAAACCTATAAATTTCAGCGAAATGGATTTAAAAGCTAATGACCAGGAGAGTCAACAGCAAAGTAGCGGTTTTGAATTGATACCTACAAGCTCGGGATTGTCGAATTATGTACCACCTACAAATCAAACGCTCTCACCATCAGCGCAACTTTCACGCATAATTTACACTGGAAACATCATCTACAGTCGTCGCATACCAAACGTTAATATGACCCATGTAAGGAAGTCTTCTATTTATATAAAAAGTAAGAACAATCAATCTGATGATGTGGTGTTAGTTACCAACCAAACAATAACCATTGTCGACCTGTACCACATGTGGTGTCAGATGAATGTTACAGCGCGTTGTGTTATAAGCTTTTCAATATTCGCTACTCTAGCGATTTTTGTGATCTTTGGTGCTGTATTCTTTTACGGATTCTAATAGAGTTCTACGAATATTATATACATCTTATATTTTGTTTGTGTAAATTAATTAATTTATTTATTTATTCATTTTATTGTTTTTTTTTTTTGTTAATAAGATTGTCCCTATATTAATATTTCATGTTCAATTGATTGCTTTATTTCTACTCATAATTTATTTTTATTTCATTAATTGTTTGTTTATTTTTTGTTAAAAATAGTTCATAATGAAGTTTTTACTTTAAGTTTGTCTTTATATGGATTCGATGTTTAATTTAAAGAATTATTTCTGTTCGTAATTTATTTTTTTTTCATTAATTACATAAATTACAGTTTGTGCAAAATTTTCTATTAAAATATTTGATTTCTACATAAAAAGTATTACTTTCTATCTATAATAGTAATATAAAAGTTCTGTTAATATATTATCACTTTAATTGTATGATTTTATATTATATTATGCATTTAAATTACTTCTATTGTAGACATATTCTTCTATTGTAGAAATAAACCCCATGGCAGGCCAAAATATGACTTAATAATCTATCTTTCATATATTTCGTCAGTTTAGCCAATTATTGTTATGTATAACACATATATATCTAAGAGTATAATAAATTAATTAAATATATGTACATCCAACCTAATAAAAAAAAATTCTTTTAAATAATTACTTGAAACACAACTATACCTACATGCCTGAAAATTAAGTGTCGAAGGAAAAGTAGTCCCAGTCTCAAGGAAAAGCTATTATTCCTTTAGCAGAAAAACTGCTCATCGGCTACATTTTAAATATAATATATAGCATGTGCTATGAAGGAACAAAGTAACCCCGTATATATTTGTTATCAAGAAGTTGTGAGAGAATCTTTATGTGTTTATAATGTTATTTAATAAGTGTCTTCTCATTGGAGAGGTAAGATATATAAGAGATATACAATATTTTCATAAGATAAAAAATTTGGTATCTTTATCATACGAGTATATCTTTAACCAAATAGACGAGTCTTCTAAAATAAATTCATGTTCATGTTCACTTATAAGAAGAAGCATATTATTTTAATTTTTATATATAATTTTAAAATATTTAAAAGTAATATTGCAAATATTTTTTTTTTGCACTGCTAATACATTATTATCTTTTTCAATTTCCTTTATAGAACACACCACCAAGAAAACGGCTTAGCAACATTTTCAAAAGAAAGTAACACAAGTCCTGAAAGTTGTTCCTCAATCGACTTAATATATCCCTCCATTTCAGATTGTAATTACTTGTCTATAATATTTTATATTATAAGAATATTCATTTTATTTTTTTTTTAATTTATTTAATATTGTATTTTAAAACAATATATTTTTCTACTATTATTCGAATGTACGGGTATATAACATCGAATAGAGTTTAAATTTATGTTATGATTTTCATATATAGTTTGTAATTTTGTGTAAATATTTTTTTATTTAAAAATATATTTCATCTATTGAACTTCAATAAAAAATAAGTGTTTCTCAAAGGAGCGGTTGTTTTTCTTATTATTTTTCTTTTTTTATATATTAATATTTTTGAGATAATTTTTACTATCCAACATTTTTGTGAGTTTCCGGGCTATGTTAGGTTGTATATCTTCCGTAAAACACGTACTCTATTCACATTTTTAATTGATGTTAAACTATTATGTATTGTGAAAAAAAAATAAAACTACACTTGGATTAAGTTCTATCTCCGGATTAGGCTAACACATCAAATATAAATTCAGTTATGAACAATTAATTCCGGTAATTCGAAATTTATGTTATTTTTATTTTAATATTTTTATTTAATATATTCAATTTAATGCATTAATTTTATATTTTTGTTTAATTTATTTACTTTAATTCACGTGTTTTTTTTATTTAATTCACATAGTTTTTGTTTCAATTGTTTAGTTAAATTTATTCACTATAGTTTAATAACTGAAATCCTGTTTAAAAGAAAACGCAAGCTGCGTTAAAAAATTAAACCAAGAACCTAAACTAAGGGGCTCAAGACCCCCGAATAAAGCGAATAACTATATGTATATTCATTATTACATTATAAAAGAAAAGGTAAATTTATGGAATCAAAGAACTCCCATGAAAAGACTTTCAATCCATTATCATCTATGCCGGAGAATCTGTGATAACCCATGGTAACATGTTAGGAATAAAAAAAAATAAAACTAGAGACTCGGTTAGAGGCTGGTACAGAATCAAGAAAAATATTTTTGTTTATTTTGTAATACATTTTTGTAAAACTGTTGCTTAAAAAATGGTACATAAATTAAATAAATTCTATTATATATTAGAATAAATAAATAATGCAAATATAAGCTCTCTAAGCAACTTATTTAAATCATCAACTTTTCTTCTAGTATAAAAAAGCTTATTGTTGAAATAAATTATTAAAATTATCATTAGTCGATTTGTAAGTTTTGTAAGATTTGTAAATATTTTTCTGAAATAATAGTACATAAATTTTAATGAAAATTTTTCTTGAGAACTCACTTCACCCCTTCACTGGTGCGTATTTTGATTGCCTATAAGGTTAGGCGGTTAGTTGGTTGGATTTCTAGAGTAAACATTCATGACTAATCTGTTTATCACAGCAGCGATTTGTTAATAGTGCGATCAGCAAAAATAGTTCAAATAGCAACAACAGGTGTACATTTTCTAATTTAAATGCACGTATGTAAATTATAAATCCAAGACAATAATTTATTGCTTTTAATTACTGTATCAGACATTTGTTGCTGCCTCGATCAATTATAATATAAATTGCTAAATATTTAATTGACACTAATTGTCAATTAAGCAGTGCATCTCTCAAACGTTGACTTGACCTTTAGCCAGTTTAAGGCACCCACTTGACATTCAGGACATTTTTACTTGTAATATCGAGAAAATAGTATAAATAATAATGTAAATATTTTTTAAATAAAGATTTATAGTTATTAACTTTAATATTGAATTGTATATAGGCTATAGTTTATCTGAAAGTGGATGGTATATTTAACAGGAATATATACATACTCTCGGACAGGCATGCTGCTTTAAAGTCTCCGAGTTCAGTCCAACTTACATCTAGGACGATTTTTGACTGCTACTCGTACATATCTTTAAACACTATGTCGAAGCAGCTCAATATTTCTCTAATTTAGGTTTACGGTCATTGGGATAATTTCAGCATTTGCAAAGCAGGCGACCTAGCCATATCGTAACATCATGCAAATTGTTACTGAGTTCTTTTTAATAAAATAGGAACACTGGCAGGCATCTGTATGCAATTTGGCCACGTACCACCAAAGAAAATCAAATTCTCTCATTAAGATGCCCCGTAGAAATATCAGCCTTCTGGTAGGTTTACTTACAAGTCATTGAAATCACGCTAGAAGATTAAATCTCTCTTGAAATTACGCTAGATGATTGAATCTCTCCTGACAGTGCCTCTCATCTACTTTGGCTTTGCCTACCTCATGCATGACAGAGATTAAACACTTTAGGAGTCCCCTTCTTTGAGGATCTTGAAAAAGCTACAAAACCTCCCACTAAACAGCATTCTAACCTTCGCTAAATGTTTCAGGTGATTTTAAACCCTGAGTTTCTCCACTATACGGTAACACAATGGGTTAATAAATCTAAGAGAAACCCCTTCAGAACGTCGGTATAACTTAACCTAACCTAATGGTTTCTAAAGTTCCAGTGGTGTAAAACACTGGGGTTGTAATAGCTCTTTTGTGCCAATAACTAACTGATCTTAAGCAAACAGTGAAATAATAAAGGCAGACAGACAGCAAGAATTATTTGGCAATTCAGATGAATGCTACTAATCTCTGTCAATAAGGTTTTTCTGATACCAGAAAGAGATAGATACACCTAGCTAGAATCTTCCTCTAAAATGAAAACCGGACATTAATAAAGGATATGGATATACGGCTCTATATTTCTAGGTAGACACATTATGTTAGTACCTATAATAGACTTAGATGTCCCTTCAGGTAATCACTTAGCAAACTACCTTTGTGCTAATGATTAAAAACATTAATTTGTAATTATAAGGACGAACCAGCTCTTTGATTTTACTTTTTACTGGCATGTGTTGCGAGTGACACCCTCCCCCGATCTTTTATCACTTTATAGAAACCATTCTTGTTGAGATGTTCCGTCAGGTCATAAGAAAAAATTAACGTGGAGTTTTTTTATTTAAATAAATAATAAGCTCAAAATAGAAAATGACTTCAGTTTCTTTTAAAATGACACAACTACATTAATTGCAAAATGATAATAAAATTATTATAAATTCTGTTCGTTATATATTAACAAATATATATATCCTTGTACTAAGTAAAATATGACAAGAGTAAAGAAGACTGTAAAATAATTCGCACAAATGTGATTTATTTGAGTTTTTAGCGAATTCATATTTACTTACTTTCATACTTGCGCATATAGACAGACTCATAGATTACTGTATCACTATAACTTCAATAGAAGAAACAATGAAAAAGTGGAAACTAGGAAGGAAAACGTAGAACCAAAATATAAGCGTTAAAATTCTGGCAAATAATTTTAATTAATTTTTGTAAAAAAGCTCGCAGAAAACATTTTTAAAATAGAAATATTTTATTAGTGTTAGTATTAACTATACTAGACAATAAAGCTCTCGAAAAATGGTGCCTAAATGTTTAAAAAAACTCTGTCTAATATGAAGTTAATGCTTACTACAGTGGCTTTTGTCTTGCATCAGATTTTAAAAAAAGTTTCAAAGCAAATTGTTTTAAATTTAATAAAATAAAATTGTTTTGAATTAAAAAAAAGGCGAAAGAATTTAATGAATAATTAAATAAATGCAAAATATTTTGGAATGTCCAGAATTGTTACTAAATATAAATAAATTGTGTTATTTTTACAAAATTTTGTATCGAATTTATTTTTGAAACAAAATAATTTATTAAGCGGCACTTGTCAAGCTTCAAGTGTAAACGCCTAATTAAGAATTACAATAATTTGCAAAAGAAAAAAAAAGATTTAAATAAGATGACACCAGAAAAAACATCTGATCTATTTCATTGAAAATGCGGTATTTTTATTTTTAAATATTTTGCGAATCAAATTTTTGTATAATTTACATTTAATTTTTATGACAGCAAAAACGAAGAGAAAAAATTATAACAAAAATGCGAGCGGTGCCTGAGCCGAAGGCAGGCGCTGGAGCGTTCAAATCATTGAAGAAGTGAACAATTTAGAAATGTGAATACTGGTTAAAATATTTGATTCCATTTTATATATATTATCAAGTAATTAATTGAAATTTTTATTTAAATAATTAATGCACATACTTAAAGAGTGCGAATACGTATGTATGTATGTATGCATGCATGCATGTACATGTTTATTTGTATGTATGTAAATCTTATAACAAAATACGGGTAATACTATATATCGAATTTTATCGAATTGTATTATTTAAAATATTGTTTAAAGTTATTTTGTTTTTGTTTTTAAAAAGTATTCCGCGAAAGTTAATAAAATCAGGGCGTACAGCAGCATACGTAACGTAGTGAAGCGCTTTGAAGAGGACGAATAACAAGAAACCATTGAGCTGTTACCGCAACTAATACCACTGTTGCTCAGTCGTCTCCAATACCAGCACCTCCAGCGCACCACTACTAGCAGCAGCCAGTTTAACTACTGCGTTGCTGTGCCAACTGCGACACACGCAAAGAACTTAAGCCAATAAAAGCTCAATCAGATCGGCTTAAGTAGATCAGTTGAACTTGGCTGAGAATTAAACAAACATCACAGCTAGCAGCTCGAATTGAAAGCTCTGATAACAAACTTATATTTGTGATAATCAAATAGTTTTGTGATTTGTCTGACAACTGTAAGCGTTGTTAATACTCACTTATTGCGGCTAAAGCGCCTATAGCTTAACTCATGGTAGTTTGGAATGATAATCAAGACACAAATTTCAAATTTATATGAAAATTTTATTTACTGAGGCATAAACTGCTCTTGGCTGTGTGTAAAGAATAAAATATTCAGATTCTTTTTCGTTTACTGTGCGAAACAAGGACTTTTGCAATTTCGATAATTTTTTAAAAGTTTTTGTGCAAGTGTTAACTCGGTTTATTTGGTTTATGTGATAATGCCAATTAATGGTTTAGATCATTTTATTTCATCGTCGACAAAAGCCGTCGTTAATCCAACAGACTTGAAGACTGCGCGGAAGACATGGAACATCAAATCTTCGAAGTTGGCTAAGAACACGCACAATCGCATTCGAAGCATTGTCGAGTCCTTGAAAATTAAGCCGAATCCAGAAAAACCTATGATACCGCTTTCGATTGGTAAGTTATATAAATATTAAAATAATTTCTGATAAAACTATAAAAATATTTATAATATTTAGTTTTTATTATTTTTTATTTAAACAAATGATATTTTCCGCGTTTTTCTCATTATGAGTAATTAATTTTGAAAGAAGAAAATAAAGTATAAACTTAAAATATAAATGAGGTGACTAAAGTCTTTTAAATATTTTTCATTATCTGAGATATTTTGTTATAATATTATCATTTAATATTTAATAAATTATCATTTAATATTTCAAAATAATTAAGAATAAAAAAATTGATTGATTTCATTTTATAAACTTTTACTTAAAATAATTAAATAATTAATTTTAAATAATTTAAAGAAAATAATATGAAGTAGGTAATATATAGTAAATTTGAATAAAAGTTTAGTATGGTAAATTAACCAAAATAAAAAAAATTATGGAATTAATAAAATAAAAATCGATCAATAGAAGGAACAATTTAATTATTTAATTAATGCGAAAATATAACAAGTTTAACAAAAATCGATAATATATAAAAGAAGTATGATGAAAGTTATATGTTAGAGTTCAGTTAGGTTATATGAATATCAATTATTGTCGACATACTTAGCCTATTGTGCTATCATTTCCAGCAGGTTTTCCTTCTTTTTTCCATATTTTAAAAACCCTATCATTTTTTTAGTATATTTTTACAAAAATAATGGAAATTTTTGATCATGGTATTAGCTAGCTCTTCCTTCATTCTTCCGTATTTTGAAAACCTTCTTCTTATTTTTAATGAATTTTTTTAAAAATAATGAAAGTTTTCGACTATAATATTAGGTATCTACAGACAAAAATGAAACTAGAAAAATTTTAATACATTAGACAGTAAGATTATTTTAACTCTGTTGTTATTTTACTGAGTAAAAAAAAAGACAATAAGTTTAATAAGGTTTTATATTAATTATTTTATGTAATTATTTCATGTATACAATTGCTGCAATTTTGGGCATTATTAATTATTTTATTTTGTTCTTATTTTATTCTTATTTATATTTTAATTGTACTCTGAGCAAATAACTTATGTCTGTGCGTATCATAGAAAAACTGTAAACTCTGCTTTTCAGAATAACTTGATTGTGTAAAGCATGATGCAATTGTTATTGCATCATTATATTATGTACAATAACATAACAATAATATATATATATATCCATATCTACTATAATTGTAGATTTATTATAATTAAAACCTAGAATTGCATTTGAATTTTTCATTGAATAAATTCGATGCGATAATTTAGTAGCTCAAATTGGTTTGTGTCTAGTCTAACTGCATACACAATCCATAATAAAGTTGAGAAGAAGAGAAGAAAATTATACGGAAATTATTTTAGTTTGATATTTAGAAGAAGGTGTCTAATCCAAGGGATTCAATAAGTCTAAGCGCAACATAGTATTCTACTAAAAATTTCATTCGCCAAATTCACGATTTTAAATAAGAATATTTTGACCTTGTTGTCCTCTAAAATATATGTGTGCAAAATATTATATTTCCTTATTTTATTATTTGCATTATTTTAAGACTGATGAACTTTGTTATGTAATGTTTTGGATGTTCAGAAACTTACTATGAGCCTTGAACTTGTTTCAGCAAATAATTTAAAAGAGAAAAAACCGCCTTTCTCGGTGAAAATTATAAATGCAAAAAACCAATAACTTTTTTGTTAAAAATCTGAATTTAAAATGAAAAAAATTTACATACTAGCAGTGCTGATAACTGACGCAAACAAGCGAATAACTAGGTTTAAAGGTACTGCCGATACGAAGATGAAAACCAGATTTCGAAAATTTTATGAATTTTATTCATGTCATCCAGTAAGACGCGTGGCATATTAATCGAAGACGCAAACACACTAACACACTCCCTAAATCTTATCTCGCCGACACCTGCTCTGCTAATCAGAATCACATTCTACTGCATTATATTTTAAGTTTAACTTAAAAACTTTAAAACTTGTTACGTATCCTGCGTTAAGTGGAACGCCATTTTTGTTGTTTATGCGTGTTCAGTCATCGAACGTTCCGTTTGCCATCATTCCGCGGCTCCCAACATTTTTGTTGTCGATGTTTTGCGCTCACAATTTTACCGAATTTTATGCAAATAAAATTTAATTAAGAACAAGTTTAAACAATTTTAATAATGAATTAATTTATTGCACGCTATACTCTTATGGTACGAATATATAACTTTTTTTTCTACGATTCTTTATTTTTTGAATTGATTTCATTTTTGTTTACATGCAAAATTTTCCATTAAACTGCTTAAATTTTGCGTATTTATTTACTTATCTTGGCTCATATTTGCTTTTATTTTTTTTGGATATCTTTCAGTTTTGCTAAACTGGCTTTCCTTAAATTCAAGTGCTACACACCCCCCAATTCAACCAATCAGAAACTGGCGCCATTTTCTTTGTTGAACATTTGTCATACTTCATTTTTTTTTGTAATGATAAAAATGAAAGAAATACAATTTTAATCCACCATATTTCGAGCAATGATTTTAAATATTTTCAACTTAGAAATATGCATAAAAACAGATTTGAATTTGTTTATAAAATATTTATATCATTTGCATAAAAAGTAGTTTTTTAAACTCGTTATTGTAATATTTTTTTAATTTTGCTTTGAATATTTATTTCTGCGTATTAATCAGGACTATTTGTCGTTTTGTTATACTTTTACAAATTATAACAAATTATTTGTTTTTATGAATTTTAACCTTTTTAATTTATTAATATAAAATAATTCTTATACTAAATATATTTACACTTATAGTTATCGAACTTCATTAGCATTTCTGTGTAGATTTTGTATGAAATTAACTCGATTAGTCGAGTTAATTGCGATAGTGTAAATGTACTGTTACAGATCCTATATATATTATATTAGCTAAAGAGACCTGGTGAAATTAAACAAATAATAAAAGAATTTGATCACGCGATTATATGAGGTCATAATATAAAAATATATAATCATGTAAACAAAATGCATATAGCAAGTTAATGAAAAAATTAATCTGTTTTTGTTGGTTTTAACCAGTTTATTTTTTTTTTTTTGTATTAAGTTAAAATTAAAATAGATATTTATAACTTATATATTATAACTTTTTCTGTGCGCTTCTTCTTTTTTATTGCATTTCGTTGTATTATATAACGTAGCAAAATCTGGTTTTTTATAGTATATAATATCTATATCTCTTTTAGAATATATTTCTTTAATATTATATTCATTATTATCTTATTAGAACTCCCAAAATTACTAAGAAACGTTTTTAAGACGATATCTATTTCTTCACTTGCTCTCTGTTTTCTTAGAAAAATTGAGCGCATTCTTAACGAGAAACTTTATGGTGGATATATAGTTATAGACAATTTTTTTTTTGAAATTTTCTGTTTTTTGGAAAAATCGACAAGTGACTTTATAAAATTTTTTTTGAAATATTCTACTAATTTTAGTAATCGTTTTTTAAATCCACACCAACATCAAGCTCAATTTTAAACTTAATTAACCTAAACAAATTAAATAATTAATTATGCATATATCTATGAAATATATCTGTAGATTTTTGCCAAAAAAAAAAACCACTTTATATATTATATTACAAAAATAATTGTCACGCGTGATTGCTTGTTTAGACACGTGAATTGCTTCAATAGTTCTGTAATTAATCCGGTGACCACTTAAAGAATCGGTTTACACACTTCACGCAAGTAGCAATTAAAAAATTTGTGAAATGCTGAGCTTGGATACCTTTCACTGACTGCACTGACAAGTAATCAATCAACTCTGAAATAGTTCTCAACATCTGAAACTTAATTTAATTAATTATGAACGATGTAAGGGTATTAAATTTCGAAGCGTTTTCACACAATTGAACATTTCCTGATACACGCTTTACTTAGCATTAACAACTACATTTAATACTAGCAGATTGAGTATCTAATTTATTATTATTTTTTATTTTTAGGCGATCCTACAATTTTTGGTAATTTAAGAGCATCAGATGAGACGATGAAAGCGGTGGTCAAAGCAATTGAAAGCGGAAAATATAATGGTTATGCACATACCCAAGGTCATGATTCTGCACGTGAAGCCATCGCTAAGTATAGTGCACATCAATCATCTGAGCCTATTAATCCAAATGATATAATGATATGCAGTGGCTGCTCCTCTGCTTTGGAATATTGCATATTAGCATTGGCTGATAGTGGACAAAATATATTGGTACCACGTCCGGGTTTCTGTTTGTATCACACACTCTCAGAAGGTTTAAATATTGAAGTGCGTTATTATGACCTATTACCAGAAAAGCAATGGCAAGCTGATCTTGTTCAATTGGAAAGTCTAATTGATGAAAACACAGCAGCTTTGTTGATCAATAATCCTAGTAATCCTTGTGGTAGTGTTTTTAACAAAAAACATTTAGAAGATCTTATTGGTATATGCGAGAGAAATTTTCTGCCCATAATAGCAGATGAGGTTGGTGGAAAATTATTTACTTTATAATTATTTTACTTGATCCAACTATCTTTATTCTTGCACAGATTTATGAACATTTTGTATTTCCTGGATCCAAGCACTTTGCGATCAGTAGTTTGTCGAAAAATGTGCCGGTACTGTCTTGCGGTGGGCTAACGAAACGTTTTCTAGTACCTGGATGGCGGATGGGTTGGATTATCATACACGATCGTGATCAACGTTTAGGTGATGCTGTCACTGGTTTAAAAAATATGTGTGCTCGCATCTTGGGCTCAAATACAATAATCCAAGGTGCTTTGCCAGATATTTTAGAAAAGACTCCGCAAAGTTACTTTGACAGTGTTATACATGTGTTACACGTAAGTTAATAATAAAATAAAAAATTTGCTTTTGGTAAATTATTTTCCTATTTAGTCGAATGCAAAACTGGCGTTCAAAATGCTTAGACGTGTTCGTGGCTTGAAACCCATTATGCCGAATGGTGCCATGTACATGATGATTGGCTTAGACATTGAGCGTTTTCCAGAGTTTAAAGATGAAACACACTTTGTACAAGAGCTGGTCAATGAGCAAAGCGTCTTTTGCTTGCCGGGTAATTGCTTTGAGTACCCAAATTTCATGCGTATCGTCCTGACTGTACCAGGAGAAATGGTTGAAGAAGCCTGCTTGAGAATTATGGAATTTTGTGAGGTGCACTATAAAATTGACAATCGAATTATTGAAAACAATATTCTCAAAGCAGTCAAATATTAAATGTTGTAATATATATTAATTCCCATAGATCCTATGAGGAACAGAGGGCCACAATTGCTGTAATAACCAAATTATATTTTTTGCATTTATAGCATTTAGTACACGGAATGATAGTAAATCGGGGAAGGGTTTTTTTATGATTTTTAATGAGAGATAATGATTGTAAACATTATCTCTCTCTTTTCAGGTATTAGTTTTATATGTGTATACTGTTATACTGTTTCAAATATATATTTATTTATTTTAAATAAAACGTTTTTAACTCATTTAATAAGTAAAGATGGAATATAAATTTATTTTTTTCGTTTTTTGCTGAAAACTTCGGTATAATAATAAAGCAAATTGGATTTATTAATTTCGAAGCTTTTATTCTTTTAGTGGTTTATTCAATACTTTTGGCTAATATTGAATCAGCTTACGGACTATGTTTGCTGCTCCATCAATGTTGGACAGTTCATCATAACATTTTGAAATTTTTTCAAACTTGTACTTTCACTAGTCCTTAAGATTAAATATTTATCTTGGCTTTCTTTTCGAAATAATGCTGCCATTTTCTAGGGGCTCATCATTTTAAATATTCGAATTTGATATGGATTTTTCAAAAAAAAGCGATTGATTAATTAATTTCATTTCATTTGAGCTTAAAAGCGTTTTAAGGACTAAATTTTTAATTATTTTAGAAAATTATGTTGAAGATATTTTTGGTAGAATCTTTTAAGATCACTCATTTCCAATAATCAGTAGCATTCCTGTGTAAATATCGATCGGTAATTTTTTTAACACTAATAGAACATGTATACACTACAATTTATTTATTACTATCTATTTATGAGTAAATGTTATTATAAAAAAGAGTTTTTTAATATATTTAGATAAAATATAGTGCATTCATGTGCGAGTGTTCTTAGTTCGACAATAAAGTTTAGCTGTAATAAAAGCAGCAAAAAGCTTTGTTTGATCGATATTCAACTGTAGTATGGATCAGCACTAGCACAGGTTGTGGGTTTAGCACATCGACAAGAACGCATGAAAGAATTCAAAGCGAGTCTGTTTACTTTCTTTATATGTAACATTGTATATCTTACATAATGCTTTTGCGTGGATTAAGAGTGAATTGGGTTGTATTTACGTTCTCATTAATAATGCTGATATATTTCGATCTACTGAAATTCTAGCAAAGAATAATACATAAAATCTAATTCATAGAAGTTAAAGAATTATGTATTTACGTATTTTAGTTATAAAAAACTTAATGTGTTAAATTATTCTTCTTTGTTAACAAGCTATTAATTAAAAGGAGGAGGCTAATATTCTTCAAAAAAGCACGAATTAGTTTATTTACGCTAAAAACATTTATTATGTTGTCAAAGTATATTAACGATTATTATGTGGCTATTTAAATTCGATTTGACGGATTTTAAATATAACATAATTCCTCTTTTTTTTATTAATGAAAATTTCTTACATTTATTGTGAACTTTAATATTAGAGTCTGGCAACTCTAGTCAACATGCAAACAACTGATTAAAGGAATAAGCTTAGTTGCCGAACGTAAACAAACTGTTTGCAATCTTCAAGTGCAGTTCAAAATGCGACGATATATATCACACAACAGTTTTGTTAAAAATAATTTATTAATAAATGTGAAGTATTTATTAAGCCAGGAACGTCAAGCACATGCAGCACAAAAAAACTTATCTAATGACATTTTTGCGGCGCGATATTGCATGAGTTTAGTTGAGTATGTACATAAAAAATTTGTTATATAAATATTACATTACGTTTGAAGATAATTACCAATATTAAAATTATTGTATTCTAGAAAAAATGACTATGAAAACTATTTGTGTACGTTGCTGTTAAAAGGAGAAAGACGGAGACATGCCTTCGCATTGCGAGCGTTCAATGTGGAAGTTTCCAAATGCAGCGCCAATGTAGGTAAACAAAAATTTCAGAAAACATATGTAATAACAAAATTAAATTATAAATGATGAGTATTATGAATTATAGATATCTGAAGAACAATTAGTAAAAATGCGTTTAAAGTTTTGGAACGATTCCATAGATAAATGCTTTGACAACAAAAGCTCATATGTGACAGATCAGCCAGTGCTGCGAGAACTTAAATACGTATGCTATATGTAATAAAGCCTTAAGTAATAACTAATCTGAATAATTTTTGCAGATTGTTGACAAGCATAAATTAACAAAACTCTATTTAAAGCGTTTGGTTACTGCGCGAGATCGACCGTTGAATCAGCAGTTTATGACACTCAAACAATTAGAAGAATATGCCGAACAAACATTTTCCTCCATAATATACCTATTGGTGGAATTGTACGGCATAAAAGACTTACAGGTTGATCATGCTGTCTCGCATCTCGGCAAAGCGCAGGGAATCGCTACATTTCTGCGTGCCATTCCCTACAAAGGCCGTAGTCAAGCGTTATATATACCACAAGAAATATTAATAAAACATGGCGTTAGTCAAGAGCGCATTATACGGGATAAACCAAATGATAAAGGAGTTGAGGAGTGCGTATTCGAAGTGGCCACAACTGCACATCAACATTTAAAAAAGGTACAATCAAAAAACTTGCTTTAAGTAAAACAGGTTTTATTTAAATTATTATTTTCAGGCACGTAGTTTGAGTGATAAAATTCCAAAAGAAATTAGAAAACTCTTTTTACCGCTGGTAGCTGTTGAACGCTATTTGGAACGCTTAAGAAAAACAAATTTTAGGTATTTGATATGATATATATATGCTAATTTTGCATAATATATTATTTTATATTTTTATTTTTAGTTTAACTGATCCAACATGTTTGCAACGTGACGCTTTGTTACCAGTTGCATTGTATTGGTTTAATTTGCGTAATAAATATTAAAGTCCTTAATGCAACCGCGTCAGTTAAAAAGGGTATAATAGTTCAATAATATTGCAAGAGTAATCTTAGAAACATTTAACTTGTAGATAATGTTTATATTTAATAATAACTTCTGTGCTTGAAGTTTATTTATAAAGTCGTTACGAGCTAAATTTTAAAATGTTATATGTTCTATAATAAAGGACTTATCATTAAAATATTAAACTATGTGTTTAAAATGAAAATCAATAGTTTTTGAAATTTTGATTTGGATTATATAAGGTTACAGATTAAGATTAGCTGTAAAGTATATTTGATTTATGACTTAATTACTTCAGTGACTGCCTGTATATAAAATAATTTTAGAAATGGATTTATTCTTCAAACACAATTTTTTGATGTTTTTTTTTAGATTAAAAAATTAAACGATATATATAACTTCGCAGGGAAATGCACATACTGAACTGTTCTCTGGTAAATTCTTTAATATATTCTTTGAATATACAAAAAATTCTTTTTCTAAAAAAATTCCTGGTTAATGCAAGATAATACAAATATTTTCACCAAATACTAGTTAAGCACCATCTACATTCAAAAAGTTGATATAATTTATTTGATTATATTTTATAATATAATTAATTAGTGAATAAACGAATTGATATGAATGATAATTCTGAATATATATGTACTTAAATATTCCATGCCCAATATATTTTTAATATAAAATCATTTATCTATAAAATTTGTGATAAAAATAATACATCACAAAATAATCGAACAATGGACATAGATATATGTGCAAATGCAAATATGTGTGATCATTCTAGTTTTTCAAATTTATATTTTAGAGTATGTTCAGTCCATATATCTTTTAAATATATTTTTGTTCTTTGATTAAACGACCGCAGCTACATTTGACAGATACAGTGCGGTTGAAAAATTCGTTACGTTTGCCATCTCACTTGTGTACATGCGAAGCTGAAATTCATTGATTTACGGGTAATCAAGTGATAGAAGCGTAAACGCACGGTCTCGGTTTTCTTTTGCGGAAGAAATTTTTGTAAAACTATAAGTGCGAAAACGGGATAATATTGTGTACAAAATCGAGTTCAGTTCTTATAATAAATATTATTAAAATCATTGTACTATTTAACTTGTAATTGCTGTTTAGTTGTGATCTTAACAATATAAGAGACGCTACGGAAAGAGCAAAATGTAAGTAGCAGAATGTGAAGAAGTAATGTGTGCAAAAAATATAAAGAAACAAATTAACTTAAATTTTGTGATACCAAAAATTTAATATATATAAATTAAAAAAAGAAATTATAGCACAAATACCGGGTAAAGTTTAAATAATAAATAATTTTCGCGCGTTTAGTTGGTGTTTTTTGCAAAATAAATGTTTTCTTTTCTTTGCATTCAATTCACTGAAAAGTATCTAAAAGCAAATATTTTGAATAATGTACAAAAAATGTAAAAAGAGCGATTGCATTTAGCAACAATAAAATTTTAAACATAACATTTATCGCCAAAAATGTGATAAAAGAATTTTTTTATTTTGCTTTATTTGAGAGGGACAACGCCTCTCTTGTGGAATTCAGTCGCCACTAATTTGATTTGACAACTTATCAATTTATTAACGCCGTATTTTGCTCTTGTGCCAGTGCTGTTGCTGCTGCTGCTCCCTTGCTGCGTTTGTTCTCCATAGAAAAATTTGGTGGACTTTTTCTTTTCTTTGGAAAGTGGAACAAACACATTTTCTGCATGGTTGTTGCACGTTGACGGCGAGGTGGATTTTATTTTTTGTGTGTGTGCTGAGTCATTTGTGGGGTGAGGTTTCCCTTTGGGCTCGGGGAAGTTTGTTTTTAATTATTTTATTGAGGCACCCGACTGAGCTGCAATATTGTTGGTGTTTATTTCATTTAAGCGACATAATTCAATTTTCCATTGAGCTATGTTTGTCTGTGCTGTGCTAAATGCTTGAATTTATGAGCTTAAAGTGTTTAAATCGACACTGAATTCTGCTTAAAACAGAAATATTCTTTTGCTAATTATTTTTTTGCGAAAGTTGCTAATTTGAAATGTTAAATGTTAATGTTAATAAAAAAAAACTTAGCAATTATTAGTCACGTTTTAATTTTAAATCTCCAGTACAAAAGCTTTGTGTGTTAAAAATTTAAAAAATTCTAAATGTCTGAAACACGTAATTAGTACTCATATTTGTATATAATAAAAAGCTGTAGAGCTGAGCTTAAGAAATCGAATTGAAACAGGTATTAAAATAAGTATAACCTAAAACTGAAGTTAACCTTTATGCGATATTCAAGTAATTTTTTAAACAATTTAGCAAAAAGAAAATTAAATTTATTTAACAAATTTGTAATATTAATATTATAGTATACCACATTATTATATTATTTTATTTAAGGTATTGTTAATATTCTGTCTTAGCTTTTCAGTTAATCTCGGGTATCAACATAAATATTTTTTATTTAAAATCAATTAATTATTTTTATTTATAATATAATAATAGCTTCTAAGAAAGCTAAGTTTCAGGTTTCCGGATAGTTTTAGCACAAGAATCATCATATATTTTGTTGTGTATCAGCAATAAAATTTTCGCTAAATTTTTTTTTTAAATGGAACTTAATTCCTTATGTCAATTATTGCTTAGTCTGATGAAGTGATAAACAATATTCCAGTCAAGATGTAGAGAGGGGTTACGAAGAAACCTCGCAGTTAATAGAGAGTGAAACATAATATTTTATAATATTATATAAAATATAATATATATATTATAATAATATAAGGAATTCTGATGAAGGCAAAAGCAAATTTGCCGAAATACGTAAGGAATATACAAAAAATACGATCGAAATAGAAATTAAAATTCTAAAAAACAAAACCGGCTTTAAAATATTATTAAATATACATATATAAAACTTTATAAAATTAAAATAAATTTGTAGATAAGAATTATTTTTAGGAACAAATTTAATGTTTCCATATATATTTTAAAATTTGTTAAATGACGAAAAATTCAACGTTTCATTCTCTCATATTAGTTTACCTTAAAGAAAGTGATAGAATCGATCTTGTTATACGAATCAAAAATACGAATGGTGACATGATACTTCCTTCCTTAATACCTTAGAAATGTTCTGATATTAGGTTGTGTTATTATTATTATTATAAGCACTCATGTAAGCCTGTGCCCCAGGCTAAAAACTCACAAGCATTTACAACTGTTTAGAGCCGGTAAGAAATCTTGCGTTCTTTAGCGTTACAACCAAATTAGTGTACTATTTTTTGTTGTGTCCCGTTGTGTTATATAAAAGCTAGAATATATATATATAAAACTAGAAATATATGTTTATTGAAAATATCAGATTCTCTCGGACGGTCGCGGTGTAGATCAATATGATTTTCTTACTTTTATGATACACAAAGATGGCCATGTCCTTGTTTTTCATATGCAAACCAATAAATTGTTATGTGTTTAGATATTACTGGATACTGAATTTCAAGTAATTCAATAGAGAACGAAAAGTTTACCATTTTGCACTATACACGTAAATAAATCTTGAACATAGAAACTCGGGTTTGTTCTATTATATACCTATATTATTTATCAGTGTAAATCATTTGATTTTTTCTTATACTTTTCGAATCAACAAGTTCTCAACTCAACTCAAATGTATACATTTGTTGATCATACTATTATTAACAACTGTGATAACAATTCTAGTAAGGGAATCATAATTACTGAATAAATGTGTTGTCAGGGTTAATGATTGCTATGAGAAAGCGCTATAGATACTTTTTTTTAATATTAAAAAGTAGAATTAAAAGATAATACTTTTTACAACTAATAAAAAATCATAAATCTAAAGAATGAGAATGCGATAGAAAAGTAATAAGTTAGTTGAAATTATGTTTTTATTAAAAAAATCAGAGAGATTATATATTGAATGAATCTCTGATTTTATGAGAAAAAATCAGAGAGATTAGAGATTTTAGAGAATTTAGAGATTATTTATACTCAATACATTTAATACACATAATCATCACTGATTTTATGAAATAGAGAATCAGCAAGATATTGATTATATATAAGATTTTTGAGTATCCTACTTCACCTATATATTCTTCATTTTTAAAAATGGATTACATATACAAAATGTTGCTTTTATTGATCACATAATGATGTATTTAAATGAAAAAAATTTCAAATTGTAAATTCTTTGACTGTTAATCTGCTTTAGTTTATTGAATAAACCTTGCAATTTTTATACGCCCCAATTAATCGATAGGAACATCATCGATAATGCGAGCACAACGAATACCGACAAAAAGCAGATGAATGAAAAAGCGGCTTAATTATTTGAAATCAAGCCGTATCGAATCGAAAACAAAACCAATAAATAAAAAAAAAATAAAATAAAATCGATGAACCCAATTAAACGAAACGAATTTGAAAAGGGAAAATAAATGCAAGACCAGCAGATGTCACACGTTACAAGACCTGCGAATTTAGTGACATTGCACCGTAACACCACCACCTCGGGTTCAAGTTGGACAAACTAAAATGAAAAAAAATTTCTAGTTGATTTCCACTTCTCCATCGATTTCAAAAGAAATTGAGTTTATTGAACTACTCGGTTGCAAAAACATTTACGAATCTCATAGGGTTGAGTATTAGGTTATCTACTAAAACAAAGTCGGGAAGTTGTAATAGATAAGATTTTTGCACGCTTTTTATGAAATCAGTTTTGACGTAACAATAAATTAAAAGTATTAAATTAGATTTATTATAAAATTAAATTGAGAGAACATTTTTATGCAAATTGTGCTTGTATGAGTGTTTCATTATATGTTATTCATTGGAACTAATTTAAAATTAACCGCATAAAGTACATAAACACTGTAATTCCCCACAAAAAAATTATATAAAAATTGCAGTAAATTCCTATGTGATTTGAGATAAAATTGATAAGTAGTAAGTGTGACTATGAGTATTGTGTATACTCAATTTCAAGGGCAATTTGTGTTATATCATTTTGAAAAAAAACTACATAAAGTTTTAATATAAAATTAGTACGCAAAACTGGCAAATTAATGACTCACTCGCCTTTATAATCACATTGTACTTCATAGAATCGCACATAATTACGGATTAATAGCGATTAAATTCTGTTAGTTTTTCTTGAAGAGAAAATACTCCTCTTAACTCATAAGTAGAGGTAAAATTACAGTCTTGGAAAAATACGAATAACGAAAGTATTGATTAAAGTTCAAACTCCTTTTAACGTATGTTCACATTTCCGAAACGCCCTTCTTTGAGTATTCGAAACGCAGCTGAACCGTTGCCATAGAAATAAAAAGTTTGTTTTCTTCCGCATAGTTTTCATACATTTCATTTTTATTAGTCACTGTACTCTCTTGAAACAAGGGTGCAATATTACACAAATGGATTCAGTTTCAGTTGCAATATCGGAAGTAATATTTGTTAAAGTCATGTCAATTTTGACATTCTATTTAAATAACACCATTATTAGAAATTGTTCGATTGAATGAATACACCACGTCAGTCAATAAGTCCTGATAATAACTATTTAAAAATGTTTATTTCTTTTATGTAATTCGATTAATAATGGTCGTTTTAATAGCAATATAATCATTACTAGGCTTCTCTATTTCAATGTGTTTCTTGTAATAGCCCTTATCTGAAGCCCCCATTAGTCGTTTGTTTTGTGTGACTTACAGCTAAAGTAAAACCTCTTTCTGTAAAGTACCTTATTTTAATCTATGAACGAGATTTATTGTTGTTTGAAGATAAATCAGCCAAAATACGTTAGATAAAGAATCAATTTAAAATGGTCATCACGCAGTGTTTTGTGAAATGCTGGTTCATGAACATTATATTGTACGCAAACCATATACGAAGGCCATAACGTTACCTTACCGACCGTATTTTGTATTTAGACGAGTTTTTCTTTTCTCGATTTATCCATACATCATTTTGGTTCCGGTCTATAGGTAGTTATCAATTCAAATTCATCTATCATTATATACCAATGTAAAAAACTGTGTTTATTTTGCATTAACCGCTGTAAAGTCATTGTACATTGCTATTCTTAGTGCAATGTACGTAAATTCAGTTCTCTTTTCGAACATCTCTTGTGTTATAAAGGGGTTATGCTGTTTCCGATTAT